CCGATGGCCCGAGGACGCGCCGGACCCGGACAGCTCGCGCGCCCGCTGGTGCATCACGTGGAAGGCCGGCCCCACGGCGAGGAACTGGGGGCAGGCCATGACCGCCGGGGCGCCACCTGCGGCGGGCGGCGGGCCGCGCAGCAGGCGGACAGCGGCGAGCAGCTGGGTGGGGCGAGCTGTCGCGAGAAATGGCCTGGCAACACCCACGAGAGAGAGGGCGGGTGCCTGCCTGGATGGCAAGTCCGCGGGCACAGAGAGCCCGGAGGTCGGCGGAGGGCCTCCTCGCGCCGCGCCCTGCCCAGGTCGCAGGCGGCAGCCAGGGCGCGGAGCCGCGCCGACCTGGACGGGGGGCCCCGTCGGGTCCGCGCCAGGCTCTCTCGCCCCTGGCGGCTTGGCTCGGCACGCTCCTCGAGCAAGTGACGGGGGGTCGGTGGTGGCGAGGGAGGAGGAGGAGGAGGAGGAGGAGGAGGAGGAGGAGGAGGAGGAGGAGGAGGAGGGGGAGGAGGAGGAGGAGGAGGAGGAGGGCTGGCGGGCTTGTTTTTTTTTTACCGAGGCTCCACGCACTGTTTGTCCTGAACTTGCCTGCTGCCGTACTGACGTCGTATCGCCTAAGTCGGTCGTCTCTCGCAATTCGTCACCTCACTGAGGCTGCAAGCTACGACGCTCAGAGTCTGGCCAACGCCAACAAAAATGGCTTGCACAAAGAGGAGGAGGAGGAGGACGAGGAAGACGAGAAGGAGAACAAGGAAAGAGGACAAGGAGAAGGAGGAGAAGATATGATTGTAGTGTAGCGCTGATGCCCTTAAGGGTAGACATAACACTAATGTATCGGATGGGGCATTAAGGCTCTTCCACCCTTCTAGATCGAAACTAATGGAAATTGGGACACCCCACCTTACACGGAATGGTACAACGTACCTTCGGACTGCACCTGAAATGGTGGTTGATATGCGTACCCCGCATGTCTTGTTGTCAGCCACCTCTGCCACTTCAAACTTGGGGAGCCTGGTAATGATGTGAGTGAGTGTATGTGCTCCAGTTTCTGGAGCAGGCGGGCGAGGGATATCATGTACCTATGCTTGTGGATGCTATGACAATGGACACTCTAACACTCCTACCATTGAACTAAAGACGTGTTTAAAATGTGTAAAACAGATTATAAACATGTTTCAAACATGTGTTCGACATATTCACAACATATGTGAAAAATCGTTTAGACATATGGAAAGTATTTGGCAGCATGCTTCCTCTCCATGAATGGACTTTCACAAAAACCTGTGTCGACGGTGCCGCCCAGATGGCCGATGCGGCGCCCCGATGCGGTCGGAGCTGCCGGCCTGGCCGCCCTGAATTGGCGGGGTGGGTGGGGAAGCAATCAGAGAGAGAGAGAGAAGGAGAGAGAAACACTGAGAGAGAAAGATAAGAAATAAGGATGCGCCTTTACTTAGTGGGCACTGGAGGGAAAAAAAGAAATCATCGTGTGATCATCCTGGGCAAGACTAGGGCCACTCCCCCGGGAACGACAATGCCATGTCGGCGATACCCGGCTTACCCAGACGGTGAATCGGACCAGACTGCAAGCTCGAATGTTCCATAGCATACGTGTTAGAATGAAAATGATATAGTGCTGTCGGCAGGTATTTGAGCCAAAGCGGCAGTAGAACGCACCACTGGAATAAACTTACCTAGTGTGCTACATGCTACTACATGGTGCAAGCTACCGTGTCTGACCAACTCTGTGCTCTGTGCGCACGCGTGCTACTCGGACCCGCTGGTTTTCTGTTGGCAGGGTCCTGAAGAGCAGAAAGGGCCACGCTCTGTTGTAACATGCTGGGGTTCTCACCATCACAGGGATGGTCACCGAACACGCCCGAGTTTGTGCTTGACGCCCGGGCGCACGCTTGATTAACACATCCTCTGACGTGCTTGCAAGAGGGGGAGAAGGAAGAGGAGGAGGACAAGGAGCGCCAGGAGCAAGAACATCCGCCGATACCCCACTTGCCGGGGGTCAGAACGCGTGTGAAATATTTGGCTGTCCCCCCCAGATTCCCCCCTCGGGAATTCAGAACCCTGTTTAAGGAGGGGGGAAGGGGGGGAGATGGGGGGACGAGCTCCACAACGGATTTTCTGGGCCCTCACAGCCCCCAGAGCCAGCCTCCGACGCCTCCAGGATGTCCTGGAGAGCCCAAGATGGCATCCAAAACCCTTCAGCATGCTTCCAAGAAAACTCCACGTCGCCTGAGCCTCCCCGGGATGCCCCCGAGAGGCCAGAACAGAACGAAGGCTAAGTGTGCTCAACGGTTTCGACGTTCTCGCCTCCTCGCTTCCGATGGGCTCCTGAGGCCTCAAGATGGCGCAAAGATCGGTCAAGAGAGCCTCAGGACGAGGACGAGGACGAGTAGGAGATCGGGGAGATCGGAACGGTGCCAGCCAGCATCATTGACACAGCTGACTCACTACACCCCCCTGTGGGGTGGCCCACAGTACACTTACTTAAGGGTCTGCCTAGAGGGATTTCTACGAAAGGAATTGGCAACTCCCTGCCCCACCAAAAACTCCCTCCCTTCAGCACGGGGTGGGATGGGCCAGGGTTTCCCTGGCCCTTACGAATTCTGTTCAAGTGGTTTGTGCCCGAGGGGGTGCATTTGGTTCCGCCAGCAGGACCAGTCTCCCCCTTTCGGTGGCCACGCTCCCAAAGTGCCCGCACTTCCAGCACCGCACCAGGCCGCGCACCATTCCACAAACATGGGTGCGGTGGACCTCCTTGGACTTGGCTCGGATCAGGCTAGCGAGGTGGGGTGGCGCCAGGGCGGGGACCCCAGTCTCGCTGCGGTCTCTATAGAGGGGGCCCCCTTCACAGCGAGTGGTTTCGAGCCAGTGCAGGAGGGAACCTCTTCCAGGCCCCCGGCGACAGACACGGCGGCCCCCCCCCCCCCCGCGCCCCCCAAGCCGTGCCCTGAGGCCTTCTCCAACTCGACCGCCCGCCTCGAGAACTCCCCTCCCCCTCGGGCACGACGCGAGGCAGGTCCTCCCCGCCGCCAGCCTTCTCCGCCCACCAGGCGGTCAAGGCCGCCATGCGCTGGTGGATGCAGGTGGCCATGGCGCCACCCGCGCGGAAGTGGCGCACCTCCGAACGGATCGCGCGACTGGCCTCCCCAGCCATTAATTGCGCGAAGCTGTCGGCCACTCGAGAGCCCCCGCTTCTCTATACATTTTGTGTTTGTGCATGCGGGCGGTGCTAGCGCGCAGCATCATGAGACCACCCCCGTTCGTTAAGGTCTCCCCTTCAGCGTGTTGGCTCGCCTGGGTGATGGCCTCATCTAATGCTTCGCACAGCTCAGAAAAATCTGCGTCTGCGTCGGGACCAATCTTCCACTCGCTCCCGTCAGGGACCCCGCAAGCATTAGGTTCGAGCCCAACCCATCCCAACCCGCGAAGCGTAACGATCAAGGCTCCCACGTGGCCTATCACGGCTCTCCATCGGGCTCTGCGCTTCAGTCGGGCAATATTAAATTTGGCGGCGTTCCATCCTCGACGAACGACGTTCCTAAGGGAGGGGTAGCGGGTCCAAAACTGGATCCACTCACGGACCTGTCTCTTGGCACTTTCGGCCCAGGGGTCCTTCCCTCCAAATCAAAGAAGCATGATAGTAGCCGCACAACGCCCTTTCTTACAAAACCGCGCCATACCCGCAGCAAGCGCCCGACGCCGTCTGACTTCGGATGGAGGGCTTCCAAAAAGAAGGCCATCGCACGACACTTTAGCTCTAACATTAGCACTGCACAGAAGGATTCTACGATGGCGACGGTTTCTTCCCAGGCTGCAGAACACGCGGGCCCCGGTGGCCCTCGCACGACCGAGACGTGCACGTTTCAAACCAGTGTCGCGGGCCCGTTTCTGACCCACGGTGTTATCGGTGCCCAGGTCCTGCATGACATCAGTTCGTCTGATGTTGATGCCTCTTTTTCCCAGCGCCTCGGACACCATGGCCGCATTCTGTTCGTTGACCGCCATGATGGTTGACTTGTTGGAGATCTTCAGCCTGTCGTCCAGACAACCCTGCACCAGCGTGTCTGCTGCCAGCTTGATGGCTGGTCCAATCACGTCCTCTGGTCCTTCCACCCTTACTGAGATGTCGTCCACAAACTGTCTGATTCGTGCCAGCGGGGTCGCTCGGTAAACTGGTTCCAGAACGTGATACAGTAGCGCGCGAGCCCCGTGGTTGGCCTTGCCACGTCCAGGAACCATCCCATTGGCGGGCACGATGAGGTCGCTGCAATTGCCATTCGCCTTGACCAGTCTGGGGCCCAAATAGGACGCCACGCACATGTAGAGCTCGACCGCTGGGTAGTCCAACTCTGAGGCTCGTTTGCCCAAAATGCCCAGGTCCACCAAGTCGTAGAACTTCTTGATGTCTGGGAAGAAGCTGGCCTGGTTGGCCTCCTGCAAGTGGGCCCGATTCTCATCCAGCACCAGTGTCACAATTGCTGCCTGCAGCGCGGAACTGTTCCGTACTGCTGCGCCCCAAAACCCTGCGCGTTGTCCGCGCCATTATGCGGGCGTCTGTTTGGTCTTCCCCCACGCTCGCACTGGCATCGGTAGTAGTCAAATTGGTCGTTCTTCACCTGCGATGTGTTTCTCTCCTTTGGGTAGTGCTGCGTACCAGCTCTGAATCAGTTGACGTGGCCACTGCAACCTCCCCTTACACATGTTGATCACCATCAGAAAGCCTTCTTACCGCTGGGACTGAGCGCACTAAGTTGATCTGGAGCCCACTGGTCTGCCCCTCGCCCTGTCTTGGCTGGGAAGCCGTCGAGCGCCACCTGCAGAGTCTCCACGGTGTGAAAACGTCGATCCTTGAGCTCCTCCCCTGCCCTCTTCTTCAGGATGTCCATCTGGCAGATGGCCTCCTCCATGTGTTGTTGGCGCTTGGTCCATCACGTTGCCCGCGCCTTCCTGCGTAGTTCGACGCCCTTGCCGGGGTCAATTTCCCCTTCCATGGTCTTGGGGCTCGGGCATCCGCCAGTGAGCTGTACGATCCCCTCCTTGGCAATGTATCGACGTTCTGCACCCATGCCGCCTGTGGTAGCCTGCGTGGCCCCGCGCCGTATATGAC